CCACCTATAGATTCCTGGGGACTGATTTACCCAGTCGGTAGAGAAGAAAGGCTTCGATCATCTCCGCAGATGTGCATATTTTTTGGCTGCTTGAGGGTGCTTTACGAAGTGCACGTCCGACTCCAATACTGTTTGCAAGGGCTAGCTATTGTGAGGAGATTCAGCAAATTCATTGTGGGTGCAACGAGAGGAGGAATGATCATGAGGAACAAGCTGTCAATTCTGACCAGGACATCATCTAAGGATGCCCTAGGATACTTCCACGGCTTCAATATCCTCACTATAGCAGTGATCAAGCTGGAATAGATAGATAGATTGCATCCATTTTCAATCAGGTCTACTTACTGTCGTTCAAATGGCAGTGACAATCTCCTCTCTGAAAACCATGATTTAGTAAATGACTGTTTCAACCCTAATCTGATCCCCTAGAAGGAAAATGTTCCAAGCTTGGTTAGGCGCCGAGCCTGAATACACATGAGCCCACGTAGCTCAATGGTCAGAGCGTGCGGCTTTTAACCGCAAGGCTGCGAGTTCGACCCTCGCCGTGGGCTTATTTCGATCTTCCTTTTTTCTTGCTCTCCTCCCTGTTCCTTTTAATAGTGCACTGTGCAGAATTGGCTTTCACTGTTCACAAGAGTGAACATTCTGTTGGGACAAAGGAGGAGGATGACATGGCGAACAAGAACAACATAGAGCACATTTCCAGCATCGTTGATTCCTCTTGCTCTACTTCTGAACTGCGGCATTCGCTGAGGCAGTCATTTGTGGCATGAAGTGTATGTATGTTGTATGAAACCGAAAGCCTTCCACTAGACTAAAACGAAACGTTTCCGATTAGTACTACCGGGAACAGTTTGCAAGAACCATTTGTATGCACACGTACATGTTCCGTCCAGCAGGGTGCGAGCGTTGATGGCTTCCTCCTGCGGTATCAACAGATTGGGAAAAGGGGGAAAGCGTTGTTAACTTTTGAAGCTGATCAGGATGGATATCGAAGGGCGATTGGGGTTATTGGTATCCCATGTTGTACTTGATTGAACAGACGATGCTTGTGCGGACCGAACAGCCATAGAGCTAACGGTGCAAATCAGACTGGAATACTCCGTACTAAGGCTTTCCTTGAGTGAAGGCTACCCCGCCTGCCTGTGCCCTATGATTGACATCTCCCTTGTTTTATACCGGGACAGCAAAGTGCATTTTGCTTGAAGAGGAGCAAAAGGAACGGCCAACACCCAACACTGCCTCGATGGCTGGTTTGCCTAGCCGTGAAATAGGGCTGCAAATTTATAATGCACTATGTTGAAGGAAGGCGTTTGGTGCTTAGTATTGGCCCCGGCTGGATTATTTTGGGTCTTTCGGAGCTCGCTCTCTCATCGACTCTCATCTCTCAAAGTAGAGAGAAAAGCGTTTGAAAATTTAAGGAAATACAGAGACGAATCTTGATCTAAGATTTCGAACATGAAGATAACCCACGTAAGTTTTTAGTTTTTACAGATATTATTTTATTATGTTTTTAAAACAAATAATAATCCACCTCTATTCTGTGGACGGATGATTTAAACAATACCAATCTGAACATAAATATCTATCCATTCTTCGAAAACGCAGCAATATGGTAGTCAAAGAAGAAATTGTTATC